TATCTACGCTTTCATCGCACCAGTCTTAGTGTCGTGGAATGCGTGACGGTGTAGCGGGAAAAAGAAAATAAAACCCCTAACATGCTTAAGAAGGACATGGGGCGAGGAATCACATATTTTTTCCCTCTTTCGATTACCGCCCTATGGCAATAAGCCCAAGGCGGGCCTCCTCCCTCGTGCGGGGATTGTACCTCGCAGGGGCGGCGCCTCGGGGGGCGACGTGGGCGAGCGAGGGTTGGCCGGGCTGCCGACCGTCGACCCGGCCTTGTTGTCTGCGGCCGAGAGGGGGCGAGGGGGCGCCATGGTGCCAAAGAGAATCGACGCCAGCGCCGCCGCACTGTTGCCACCGGGCCTGTCCTCGTCATCCGAGTCGTCCTCGTCGTCCTTGTCGGAGCCCCAGTCATCCTCTTCCTGACGCTTGCGCGAGAATGGTCCTGTGGGGGCCGCCGCAGGCGGTCGCTCAGTCTTGGCCTCTTGCGTCATGCGGTGGAACGGGTTGGTAGACACATCGCCAACGGGAGCAGGAGGTGCAGGGGCTGCGGGTGCTGCGGGTGCCGCGGGCGCTGAGGGCGCCGCAGCCATACGGAAGTAAGGGTTCTTGCTCTCGGCATCGACCGGAGGGCTGGTGGTGGTGATGGCTGGCGGCGAGATCACAGGGGCAGCAGGAGGCGGTGAGGCCCTCCGCTCGAGCTCCTGGCTGCCGATCTGGCTGCCGGCCTGTGTGGGCGTGGAAGCCTGCGGCGTGAGGTGCTCGGGGCCATCGTCGTCATCAGAGGACGAGTCATCGTCATCGTTCATCGCCTCGAGCTGGCGCTGCAGCTCCAGCTCCCGCTGGCGGGCAGCCTCGATCTTCTGCCCGACGGGCAGGGGAGCTTGGACTCCTTCTCCTTGGCCTCTGCCAGTGCAGCCCTTCTTCCTGCGCTTTCTCTTCCTCCTTCTTGAGCTTGCCCTGGCGGAACCTGCTTCTTGGAGGGCCTTGAAAGGGTCTTCAGCCGCTTTTGGCTTCCCTAAAAAGCTCGTCCTCCTTGTTCCTGTGCATCGGTCCTGTGACTTGGTCAGCCTCCTGATCATGAATATGTGTTGCTAGGGGTGAGACATACTCTAGTTTCTGAGTCTCACGCTGCTGCTGCTCGTGCTCCGCAGCCAGACGCTCCTCCTCGGCCTTCTTCGCAGCCGCCTCCTGCTCCGCCTTCTGCGAGGCCTCCCGCTCGGCTGCCTCGTTTCTGCCAGTACCACGGGTGGGGGGCGGCGCTGGCTTCTTTGTCTCGCTGGCGTGTTGAGGCTCCTCGGCAGGGGCTGGAGCGCCGCCTTGCTCCTGCGCAATGCGAGCCTGACGTTCAGCCTCCCGACGGGCATCTTCCTCCTCGGCCTGGCGAAGCTTTGCAGCACGGGCCGACTCTCCGGACTTGGAAGGAGCCTTGATACCCAGGGCGGCGAGACGTTCAGCCATGCGGGCTTCAGCCTGCTGCTTGATGAAAGCAGCTCGCTCTTCCGGGGTCTTGTAGGAAGAGTACGAGCCGCCGCCGGCGGAAGGAGTAGCTGTGCGCGAAGTCGAAGCAGGGGCAGGGCTGCTATATCGGTCGGCGGGCGGTTCGGCTCGCGAGGTCTCTGGGCCAGGAGAGTTACGAGCGCTACGCTTGTCCTGGGATCGAAGTCGCGCAGAGCGGCTAGAGCGCTGTAGGTCGAAGATGAAGTCTTTGACCTCGTCCTCGACGCCTAGAGCGTCCTCCCAGCGCCTCTTCTCGTGCTCGTTGGTTGAGCTCGTAGCACCCTCCTTCAGGCTGTCCTCGATGCCGCGAGAGAACTCGCGCACCGAGTCTTCCACGTCTTTGACCATGCGCTCGTTGTTCTCCTTTTCTGTCCGTACCTTGATGCTCTCCTCCTCGAGGCGCTTGGGTCCATCGGTGTCATCGACGGCAGTGTCGATCTTGCGGCCTGTAAGAGCAGCAGTGCGTTGCTGCATCATGGCCTTTGCCCTGGCCTTGAGCCTGTCAGACTCGGTCACGACACCACCGGGACCGGTGCCGACAATCGTAGAGGCACTGCTGGGGTGGGCCTTGGCGTCCCGGAGGCGGAACAGCTCCAAGCGCGCATCGTGGATGGCCTTCTCGGTCTGGCGCACCTGGGAGGCGAGCTGGGGAATCTTGTCTGTGAGGTTCTGGAGCTGGCGCTTGAGAGAGCGGCGCTCGGCGTCGGAATCGCCAGTCGCGAGGGCCGCATCAGGGTGAGAATCAATGTCATCCTGGGTGCGGCGGATGCGACGGTACAACTCCTCGGCCTCGCGTCGGTCGCGCCTGTCCAGCATATCGTCTTCCTCGAGGCTCTTCTCGTCCTTGAAGTCCATGGCGTCGAGGAGGACCTGCTTCTCCCTAATCTTCTTCTTCAGCTGCTCGGAATTGAGGTCATCGTTTGACGACGCAACAGATGAAGGCGAGTCAGGTCGAGGGGAGCTGTTGCCGAGGCGGCGGCGCGCACTAGACTTGTAGCCAACGTCGTCATCGTTGTTCTTGAAGACGGTGGCGTCCTTGCGTCCGGCGCCACCAAAACTGTTACCCTTCAAAGAGTGGCTCTTCATGTAGCTGACGCCCGTCTTCTGGGGCAGAAGAGCGGCGCCAGACTTGTTGCGGTAGTTGGACTCTTCGCTGAGCATGTTCTTGATGGTGCCGATGGATGCGTTGAAGTTCCTGGTCGAAGGGGGGACGAGCTCTGACGGCAGCGAGTTAGGCAGAGGGTAGCCGTTCAGCTTGCGGTAAATCAGATGCATGGCAACGGCAAACTCGTCGAGGTCGAGGCGGCCCTTGTTTCCATTATCAGAGAGCGTCCAGACGCGTTCCAGGTCAGGCTTCTCAAGACCACTCTGGCCAAAGATCTCAATGGCTTGCGCACCGGCAATGTAGCCCTTGCTGAGGCCATCCCAGGCCTTGAACAAGGAATCGTAACGCTGCTTCTCCTCCTTGGTGATGGCCCAGGGAATGACAGCATTGCCCTGGAGGCCAGCGGTGGTAAAGTTCTGCTGCTCGCGGCCCTGCTGCGGCATCATCTGAGCTTGCAGCGCATCAATGTTGGGAAGGCCAGTGGCCGGGCCGTTGACCAAGCCCCATTGACCGGGGCGACCGGTGGGTTGCGCGTTCAATGGGGCCATGCCACCCGGGCCTCCCGCGCCGAAGCCAGTGGGCATGGGGGGCATCGGAGGGCGTGGGCCGTTGTAGCCGGTCGCTTGGCTCTGCATGCCGGGGAAGCCGGTCTGCTGAGCCTGGAGGCCCTGTTGACCGAGGAATCCCATCTGCTGAGGCTGCTGCTGTCCGAGAAAGCCGGTCTGCTGGGGCTGCTGCTGGCCAGGGAAACCAGTCATCTGGGCCTGGAGCAGCTGTGAGTTTGACGGCTGAGGCTGGGGCTGATGGATGGTCGGCGGAGTGTTGTTGCTCTGCCTGCCAGTGAAGTCGGGGGCATTGGTGGCAGCGCTCGAGCTGCCAGACGCCTCTTCGATGATGCTGAAGTTGATGATATCCACCATGCTCGAGACCTCATTCTTGATGTTCTCGGACAAGGACGAGGGCAACGATTGACCTGTCAGCTTGAGGTTGCAGAGGTACATGGCAAGCGCGAACTCTGGAAAGTGAAGCTGTCCCGATCGGGTCGTGTCAGAGAGGGTCCTGGACAGGTCATGTCAGTATCGCTGTATTTCGCAGATGACAGGAGCATGCCAACGTACCAGATGTGCGACAGCGAATCTCCGTCCAAACGGGAGCGCATCAACAAATCACGAGCTTTGTCGCCTGACATGGTGGTCGAGTCGTCGCCAACAGCAGATGTGAACAGCGTCTCGAACTTGGCCTGGTCCTGGGCAGTGATGAAGGACAGTCGAACGTTTGGCACCTTGTTGGCTTTCTTCCTGGGCTGAGCAGGCGCTTGAGGCTTGGAGCCACCGCCCGTCTGGAACGAGGCGGCCATCTGACTGAAGCCCGTGGGTTGCGGCTTCATGGCTTGGGCGGGCGCCGAGGTCTGCTGCGGGGTCAGGGAGAATCCAGTCTGCTGGGGTTGCTGTGGCTGCTGCTGTTGCGGTTGCTGCTGTTGTTGCTGCTGCTGCTGCTGCTGCTGCTGGAACTGCTGCTGGAACTGGGACGGCATCGAGGGCATGGGCGGCACGCCGGTCTGGAAGCTCTGCTGCTGCTGGGGCTGGAAACCAGTGTACTGGGGCTGCAGCTGCTGAGACTGAGGTTGCTGTTGCTGCTGCAGACCACCCGGGAAACCGGTGTATTGCTGTTGCAGAGGAGCCTGGCCGAAGCCCGTCGGCTGAGGAGCGAAGGGACTCGGATTTCCCTGCTGGCCTTGCTGGCTTCCCAAGCTGTTGAATGAGCCTCCATATTGCTGCGCGCCGGGGCGCTGGCTGCCGCCGCCGCCGAGAAACGAGTTTGAGTTGGAATACATGGCGCGTGCAAGGGGGGGGTAGACCTCCTGAGACACGGGGGAAGGTGACGAGCGCCGACGTCGAGTTTGGTGGGAGGAGGCGCTGTTGCGCCGATTGTAGAAGGGGAATTCGTCGATCCGATGAGGCCGTTGATGAATGGCAAAGGCACTCTGCGGGGTGAAGCGGTCGGTACTGCCAGGCTGGGAGGAGCTGTGTGATGACGAGGCCCTCGAGAATTGACCAGCTTGATGTCTGGGGTGGAGGAGATTGGGTTGGGCTGCTTGCGACCCGTGGCTGGTTGGAACACGCACCTTGAGCTTGGAAGTTGGCGCTGCCTGGGGCCCCACCCGCCCACTGATGATTGTGGCTCAGGAGGCACGGATCCAGCATCATCAGTGACATGTGGCCATGTGGCTGTGTGGCCATGTGCGCCACAGAGACTTCGGTAGCCTCGGTGAGTGGAAGTCGTAGGCATCTGGCGGAAGCAGCATGACTTTGGAATTGCCATGCATGAAGCCTGCTTGGTTGTTCGTGTCTGGCATTCTCATTGCTGTGCTGTTCAGTGATGATCATTCTGCCCATACAGCTCGAAGTGGCTTCGGTGACTGGCTATAAGAATGATGCACGTCTGGGTCACTTTGTCTATTATGGACACGATGTGACACTTAACGTGTAAATTATTCTCTTTTTCTATCTACACAATCAATTGTCTCACAATGTTCTCCAGGCAGTTATGATTGAGTATCAGGGTGCTTATTTCTTAAGACGAACAGGGTCCGGGGGCTCATACACATACGAGTTTCCCCAGGCACACACACAGCACATCAGCAACAACGACCGCAACGGTGCAACCATGCCTGGCAAGACCAAGACCCACGCAGAGCAGCAGCAAAACTCATCGCACCCAACGTGGACTGGGTGACTATCAACGAGGTCACCAAGAGACCGTTGTCACCTCCCGTTTTCAAGAAGAAGTGCTCGCCAAGCAATTTCAACCACTTCAAGAGTGTCACCGCTAGGTAGATACAACAGCGACCCGGACTCTATCACCACCACCACCGACATTGAGGTATAGATCATTGGATGTCCCGCATTGTGATAAATCAACATTGCTTTCGGTCTCTCTGGTTAGGTAGTTTGGTCAACGCTGGTGCTGCAAAATACAGCAGCCAAGGAAATGAAACAAAACGCGTATGGAATCAAAGATCCAAGGCAACTGAAGGAACACCAACCACTCAAGGTAGCCAAATGAGAATCAGCACAAAGGCGTCACACATAACCCACCCCAGAAGCCTGCCTACCCCCCCATCTCACCTTTGGCATAAGGATTCCTCGAACCCCAGGCAGCCTCACGGGCCGGAACGTCGACCTCCTTGCTAAAGTACCATACATCCGCCTTCTGTGTGTTCTCCACCTTTGTCCGCTGCGCGACCGCGCCGTAGGACTGCCAGCCCACGCCCTCCAGCGCCTCAAGCACCCCGAGCACCAGCATCCTCGGCCTCAGCCCGCCATCCATGTTGGCATGCCACGGCTTGTCCTTGAGCCGAAACTCGTAGGCGTCGCAGTTCCACGTGCCGCCGGCGCCATAGCCCATCCGCGCCACGACCTCCCGGACGGCGTCCACCGTCTTGTCCCGCACCCTCCGCTCGGCGCAGTCCAGCCGCAGCCTGTCCGACTTGGCAAACGACACGGCGAGCCAGAGGCGCGGGCGCGCCGACGCGGACGCGCCGCCGCGGCGGAACACGAGCGAGTCCTTTGTCCACATGCGCACGCTGTGCCCGAGCCCCGTGACGAGCGTCCAGCTGTGGCCATGGAGGTACGCGAGGAGGTCCCGGACGAGGCGGCACGCCGCGATGGCGGACGTGTCGTCGTTGGGGTCCCAGGGGCGGCCTTTGACCTGGTACGTCAGGAGGCCTGCGGAGCTGGTTTCCTTCTTGACGCCGGGCGGCCAGGAGGCTGTTAGGATGGCTTCCGCTCCGCGGGCGAGGGGCTCGGCGAAATTGGTGAAGCAGACGTGGTCACTCTTGTGGAAAGACAGTATCGCGTAGGACGCTGTCACTGGCGATGAATCATTCTTGGAAGAGGCCATGATGGGCGACGTGCCTAGGGCTGTGCGATTGAGTCGTGTGAAATGATCTAAGACGGGGGGCGCAAGACTGGAGAGCGATGTGAATGTATATTTCAGGTCAAACGACAAGGCTACTTTGATCAATCCCACATTTACACACCAACTTCATATCATCCGACTGTCCTGTCGACAGCATATTGGCAGCCATGATGGACGTCAGACTGCGGGCGGCGATGATACGACCAATGCCATCAGACGCCACACCTCCAATATGCCAACCCGTATTTCGTACCCAGTCGTTCGCGTCGGCTCAAATCAACGAATCAGCGGCAGTGCTCAAGACATTCGACACTCATCCACACACGCCCGAGTTCAGAGCCTCGTCAAGATTCTCCGGAATGACACCAGCTGCCACCGCGTCTGCATTTCATCGTCAGCCATCTTGTCCGGAATGAGAAAAAAAAAAGGCGAAGAACCTACCCTTGTATCCCCAGCGATAATCACCTAGTTGCGTCTTCCACGTCCAGAAGACCCAGCCCTCAGCTCGTGTCTCGTACGAGTGAACCTGCGCCGCAAACCACTTGCGGTAGAAGTCCTTCTGCAACTCGGGATGCCACTCGTCGCTCCACTGGATATTGTTTTCGTCTGGGACGCTGAGGCTCCACTCGCCGATGATGGTCGGACCTGCGCTGTCGCGGCTGAGATTGTCACTGCAAGACGTGGAGATGAAACTCTCGTGCGAGAGGGGAACCTCGTCACGGTTGGCCCACTTCAGATAACGATGATCGTCAAACGCCGTGAGCCGCGTGTCGCTGAGGAACTCGACCGGGTTGCCGGCCCCCCAGCCGGAGCCCATCATCTGAATGTGGAACTGGTCGTCGGGGCCGACGTTGAGGTCTCTCTCAACCTGGCGGATGGCCTGTACCATTGACCGTTAGCTAAGGTACTTTGACCATCGCAAGACAGATTCGTTCGTGAGGCGGGAATTGTTGCCAGAAGGGTGACTTAGTCCAGACAAGTGGCGACTCACATTGTACGCATCTCGATAGAAAGTGCTTCGGAGGGACTCTACGGACTGATCCCAATGGACGGGCTCGTTGAGGACCTCAATCATACCAACGTTCTCCATATCTGGCCTCTCGTGCGCCAACTTGGTGAGATACTGGAGGAACTTGACGCCTCGACCGTAGTTGTACTCGTTGTAAAAGCCTGGGCTTGGAGCAAGCTGCAATCATGTCAATGATGACTGGCCTTCCATGGAGTCCTTGAAACACTCACCTGCCCAGTGAAGGCATTCTTGGCCACCTGTGCTCCGGGTGCGCCGTGGTGACTACCAATATTAGCTCAATTCTCCTCCACAACGGGGCTTGACATACTCCAAGATGATGTATAGGCCACGCGCAGTAGCCCAGCCGCATACCCTGACCAGATACTCCTCAGCGCCCTGTCAAGTGAACAAGTTAGGTCGACTCTGAGTGAAGGGATGTACAATGCCGTACCTGGGGGAAGTGCTCCGAGCTGTCGACCAGTGACCGGTCGAGCCAGTAGCCGAGAGGGATGCGAATGGTATTGATGCCATATCTCTTCATTTCGTCGAGATCCGACTCAGTGATGAACGATGCCCAGTGACCTTGGAAAGCAGCATCCGCCTGCTCCTGGCCAAGCTTCGACACACAGTCGAATTCGGAGCCCTTGTCCGGCGAATCCTCACAGCCCAGTCCAGTCCAAACACTGTTGGCAATCCATGGCTCAAAGACGAACAGGCTGCCAAGATTGACGCCCCTAATTTTCCCTGATCCGGGTAACCACTTCTTGTTCAGAGTGCCCTCTGGCCTTTCACTTGGCAACCAGGCTGAGCTGAGTTGCAGCCATGAGACGGCCGCGGCGAGGCTTGATAGTCGAACCATGTTGACACGAGATGATGGCAGTAAACGGAACTCAATTTAATCGCCAATATGAAAAGGATCACAATGCTTGAATCATGGGGCAGATGGCGATACTTATAACATTTGACCCATTTGGCTTTGGTAGACAGGCGGACGGAATATCGCCACACACTGCACGTTCACGTTGCATTGCGATTGAAGGATGCCGCCGACGACGTCGGAATCCGTGAGCTGAATGCACGAATGGATGGTCAGCAGGGGTTCTTTGGCAGTGTGTTACCACTCTAGACACGGTCGAAGGATTGCGAAGGTGATTTGGGGAGGCTGCTCACTACCTCTTCAGGCATGAGTGACGTATATGGCCAATAATGCACACTTGCACAGCCCCTTGGCCCCCAAGCACAGAGCCTGGTTGGACATCATGGATGTGCCAAGTCTGGCCGAGGAAGGATGGCAATTCTATCGCCGAGAGGAACTTTTGACGACTTTCGAAGCTGATGCATCTGTAGATCCTAACGGCTACCACCTGGCGCGTGGGGAGGATAAACTTTGTTCGTGGCCTTCTACAGCTGGACCCTGCTAACAGGGCACCAGCGGTGGCATGCCTGGACTCGACTTGACGTAGCACGCCGCTCAAACCGGGCGAGGCTCGGTTGCGCAAAGGTGTTTTTTTGTCGCCGTCCATGACCTGCCAAGAAGATGCGGAGAGGCAGGCTACCTGGGCAGCCTTCCGAAAGAGCAACAATCAAAGAAAACCCCTGTCGAGAACATCTTGTTCAAGGCTGTCTTGCGGTTATCTTCCAAGGGCCGGGGCTAAAAATAGACGACGAGCCCGATTGGTTTCCCCTCATGATCTCAATGTGGCAAGATTGCAAAAGGTCTGTGTAAACCAAGGATATTTTGCTTGTTCGTAGAAAGCGGCAAAAGCCGCCATGACTGAATTGTCAAACGTTGCGTGCTGTACTAGCCGCTGCGTCCGCTTTCTGTTGTCGGATGGTTGAACTGCTTATTTTGGAAGAGTAGTCGGCTGGGCCGTCAGACCTCTCACCTGCGTCCTCCAAGGCTGCCGAGCCTAGAACGTCCACCTCGTACACGTCCAGCGCCTTCCACCCCATTTCTGTTCTCTTGTCATTGACAGCCTGCCCTCCCGATCGCGTCTCGCCGGATACGACCAGAGCATCGACATGCTCGTCTGTAATGGTGGGACCAAATGCGTCCTGGATTTCGACGCAGTGGACATGGATCGTCCTCTCTCGGAAGAATGCTTCCACGCTGATAGAGGATTCATTCTCTACCTGCTGCCCTGGGAATGGCTTGCCAGTCCATCCTGACTCGTGCAGACTCACGACAGATGCGACAAAATCGACGACGGCTGCTGCTCTCTGTGACCACGGCTGAACGTACTGCGCAAACTTCTTGTTCCGCAGCAAAGCATCACCTGTGACGCCAACGATAAGCTTGCAGGCCGCTCCAGAGCCTTCCTCTGGGACTTTGAGCAGGAGAAGCGCGGCCGTGAGTAACAGTTTGTGGCCAGGGTGTAGGTGGTCAAAAGTGCCACCGAGACACACAGTTTGATAGCCTCGATGCGCGTCGGCACTCTTTTGCGCATTCAGGGCGTCATGACCGAGCTTGATGCTGATGCCTCCTTCGGCGGTAAAGAACTGGTCTTGGCGTATCACTTGTCTGCCCTGCGCGTGCTCGAGGAACGAGGCACGAAGGCTGTGCCCCGCCTCCCCGTCGATATGCATGATGAGATTCCATGGGTGATATGCGTGGGCGAAGGTTCGCAGGTTGACGACGACGGTGTTGTTGCTTTCCAGAGACAAAGGGGAAGCCGAGCCACGGTTTGGTTCATCGCTGTCAACCAGGACGATGCGAATGTCGACTGCGCCTTTGCCCGCGCCAATATCGCTAGCGATATCGTCCTCGGCACATATGACGGCGATCAGACCATAGAGACCAGCGAGGAGCGACTGGGATGCTTTCCAATCGAGCACCTTGGACCTCCTTGAAGAACCGGTCAAGATGGGTGCAACAAGTGCAACCACTAGAAATGCTGCTGCGGTCGGGGACCTTGCTCGAAGAATCGCGGCACGAAGCGAGGGACGGTAAGCAGCACTCAGTGACGGCACTGATGCTGGCGCCGGGGGTGCGGGGAGGAGGAGGAGGGACGGAAGGCTCGATCGCGACGTCATGACAGCTGTTCTATGGCTACCGATGTTGAGTGTAGTTTGTTGCATAAGAGAGCGAGTTTGCTGATTTCGGGCCTGGTTATACCAGTCACTAGGTTCTTTTCTCCTTTTTTGCAAACCCTCCTAAGCGTGCAAAGGTGAGGGAGGATGCTGATGATGATACTTCATTTGCCTCGGTTTGGGGGGCTCGACAGGGGGACCAGCCGCTGTCGTCAGTGGGGTGGATAGTTCGAAGCCCAGACAAGAGTTGGTCGAGGCGCATGTCCCAGGATGGCCCGGCCTGGAAAATAGACTGGAAAGGCTGACTAACACGGAGGTCCTGTTTTACCGATAAGCACGATAAAAGCTCCCACCAATCAATAGTGACGTTCGTCATGTTACCAAGAGGAAAACCCCCTGTACAATGCGCTGTCACTGTTCATGCTGTTGGCGACGGGTCCCACCCGTTGCCCCGTCACCCCGCGCAACCACAGCTGTCAGGCAACCCCCCCCCCCCCCCCCCCCCCCCTCTTTTTCGGGGGGAGGGGGCAATTTTACTCACCCTCCAGAAAAAGCCCATTTTTCCCAACACCCCCCGGCCCCTCGGCTTTTGGGGCACTCCGATTATGGCAAATGGGAAGTTTTTTTTTGTTTCTAAAGAAAACTTTCTGCTGCCAAACTTGCAAGGCTTGAATTTCGAGACGATGCGATACAACGGTAGGCCGACCTCTGCCCCCCACGTTCCATCATGCCTCACTACCTTGCGCACATTGCTAACCCGCGTTTGCCACAGGCATGGCCAACCGCTTCTCGACCGTGGCCGAATACCACAGCCTGATCATGGCACATGCTGTGATTGGCGCCCTCGTTTTCCTTCTCTTTGTTCCAGCAGCAGTCTTCTTCGCCCGGTTCTACACCAGACGTCCTGGTTTCGCCATCAAATACCACGCCATGCTTGGTATCTTCAACATCCTGCTGCTCACCGTCGTCTTCGTCCTCGGCTGGTTCGCAGTCGGCCCAAACAGGAGCTGGACGAATCCTCACCACGCCATCGGTCTAGCTATCTACGTCATGTTTCTGCTCCAGGCCATTGGAGGGCGACTCGTCCGCCACGTGCAGGGGAGATCCATCCGGGTCATGTTCCACCAGTGGAGCGGGCGGCTGATTGCCCTTCTCGGCATCATTCAGATTCCTCTCGGTCTCACGCTGTACGGATCGCCCAAGTACCTGTTCATTTTGTACTCGTTGTGGATGGCCTTTCTCTTTCTGCTCTACTTCATCTTCGACTACCGTAGGGGAGAGTTCAAGGACCGGGATGCTTACACCAGAGGAGGTCGCTCCGGAATGATGTACGGCCCTCACTCGGAATACCGTACAGAAGTTACGGAGAAAACGGAACGTCGTGGAGGCATGTCCCGATGGCTTGGACCGCTTGCGGCTGGCGGAGCGCTCTGGGCTTTCACGCGTCGACGAAATACTAAGAAGGACAACGCCACGAGTCGCAGTGGATCACGATCCCGAAGCCGCAGCCGAAACAGAGGCCCCGAGGTCATTGCTTCGCGAAGAGCTTCCACCAGCTATGTCGGCGGCGGACGACCGTCGACATCCTACGCAGGCGCTCGGAGACCGTCGGCAAGCTACATTGACGACGACAAGTACACCGAATTCGATTCCCGCAGAGAGGATCACAAAAAGGGAGGTGGGTTCATGAAAGCCATGCTCGGTGTTGGCGCGGCACTCGGAGCAGGCAAGCTCGTGTCCGGCATGATGAACCGCCGGGAGAAGAAACACTACAACGACGAGTATTCCGCCGTCTCGACCGAAACGCCTCGTCGGGACAGAGTCGGTCGAGGCACAGCCCCGGCTGTCAGTGAATACAGCGACTATACGGAAACTACTCGACACGATGTCGGTACGGCGTCCTTGCTGCCACCTCCCGGCAACACACATCTTGCTCAGGCCCTGAGTGCATCCGAGGAGCGCCCCCAAAACAGCAGACCCATCACCACTCGTCCTACGCACGCCAGAACCCGCTCAGGCTACGAGATTGAGGATTCTGACTATTCGTCCTACGTGAGCCCCTCCAGGAGGCGTGATGGGGACCGTACACCTGGAACTGGGGGTAAAGGGAAAGGTATACTGGCAGGCTTGGGACTTGGATGGTTCGCAAAGAAGTTGGCAGACCGCAAGAACAAGCGACAGGAGGACTACAGGTACCGAGATGAGGAGGAGACCATGGTTTCCAGATATACGGGCGACGGTTACTCCTCACCATCACGAACCAGAAGACATTCTCGACGGCCATCCGGACGTCAGGCCCCATATTCAGCCGTTGGCACGTCGGTCACTGGGTTGACGGAGGATTCGTCACAGTTCGAGCCTCGACCTGCGGACTCGGGCCGCAGCGGCCCGCCCATGCCACCTCTACCAGCTGGGGCACCTCCTGTACCAGCTCCGTTTCCCGTGTCTCGTTCCCGCGCCGACTCGCAGGTCAGAACAGACGTGGTTGAGCCGGCCGTCATGCCAGCCATGCCAGCCGACCCACAAGGTATACTCCATCATGAGTCGGGAAGTGAATCATACTTTTCTCCTGGCGGAAGACCACACCGGCGACCGTCGGAGCGGAGACGCGCAGAGGGAGAACGTGCAGCGGCAGCGGCAGCAGCTTCAGCCGGCGCACTCGCGGCGGAAGAGGAGGCGAGGCATAGAGCCTATACCCCCAGCGGGCCTGTCAGCGTCAAGGTCAAGATGCACGACGACAAGGACAGGAACGTGACGCTCCGCAGACTCACAGATGACGAAGCAGCGGCTTCAAGGAGGGACCAGCGGAGGAGGCGCGACAATTCAATCAGCAGCATCGGCACCGGGTCACCCAGCCGGCAACGATATAGACGTGACTCCAGCCAGCGTCGAGTGGAGCTTGCAGCAGAAAGCGCTGTGACCGACGCGACGCCCTTGCCGCCGCTATCACCACCGAACCCCGCGTTTGCCAAGGGGCGCAAGCCCAAGGACTCGGCATACTACTCTGGCCAGCCGGCAGGAAGCGCATCTCTGGCGCCGCCGGAAGCCTCCAGCATTGGCAGCCCGGAAAGCCACGGGACGTGGAGCGCTATGAGTCCGTCACCTGGGGGCCCCGGCGACAAGCCAACAGCTTCGGCGGCCGACAATCGTCGAAGGAGGAGACAGGAGAGGAGGCGAAGCGAGAGCAGGCCGACAGGAGCCGACATGTTCGATTAGAAGTTGAACAACAAGGAGGGAGATGAGAAAGACTCGGACGGCGCGGACGGTCTCTGGCACTACTGAGTGCCTCATCTCTTTGCGATGAGTGCCGCCCCCCTAAAAATGGGCAGGGAGGGCTTTGGTGCGGACGATGCCGCGAAGGATTGGATCTCTGACGATGCTGGGCAATCATGACCTGCATTGAGTCCCGGCACCAAGGAAAGGTAATGGCGTTGGCGGGCATGCTTGTATTTCGACCTATCTGTAGACCTCTGATGACGTACGAACCTTGAAAGATTTTGTTCTTTTCCCCAGACCAACCAAAGATTTTGCGTGCAACACAACAACATTAAGATCGCTCCATTTGCTATGATATATTTATCGTACGGACGGCCCCAGGAGCTGGCCGACTGTCAGGTGTATAGGGAAGAAGCTCATGTGCGTAAAAGCAGCGAGGGCGTCGACCCCACAATGCGTTCACAACCTTGAGGGCCCCGTCCCGTCCCGGCACGGACGACGTCGGCGCGACCCTCTCTCTGCTTTCCACAACTCCATTCTTTTCGCCTACAGACTCTGCCTGCCATTGACCAGCACACGGCGAGTCTGCAAAGCCCCATCAATTCCCATGGCACAGTCCGTCCACTCTTAAAATCGTCTCTTCTTTCTTTTCTTTTTCTTTCTTGTTTGTCTACTGTTCCTGCCACGAAACCCGAGCCGGCCATGGCCCAACCGCATTCCAAACAGCCCGCCCCATCGGCCGAGTACAAAACCATCGCGGCGGAATACGCCCGCGCAAAGCGAGCGAAAGAGGCGTCCGACGCCGCGAAGCAGCAGCAGCAGCAACAACAACAACAACAAGATGGCGCGCCCAAGACGAAAGCAAACGCATCCGAGCTCCAGCGCAAGGCGTTCGAGGCCCGCCGCAAGAGCGCCTTTGGGCGGCGCTGGTGGTGGGCCGTCGGCTTCTGGCTCTGGCTGCTCAGCATCCACGCCGTGGGCATCCTGCTCTTCACGAGCGGCTTCCTGCTGACGCGCATGGTGCTGGACGAAAAGTCCGCGTGCGCCGTGCCGCCCGTCGAGCCGGCGGGGCGCTGGAAGGGCATGGGCACCGTCGAGGGCGGCTGCTGGCATCCCAAGTCCTTCGACAAGGCCGTCGTCGTCATCATTGACGCGCTGCGGTACGACTTTACCGTGCCCGTCGCCGACAATGCGCCCTTCCACAACGCGTTTCCCTTTCTGCACGAGACGGCGCTCAGGGCGCCGCAGAACGCCTTTCTTCGGCCCTTTATTGCCGACCCTCCGACGGCCACGTTGCAGAGGCTCAAGGGCTTGACGACCGGGACGCTACCGACCTTCATCGACGCTGGTAGCAATTTCGCGGGCACGGCCATTGAGGAGGATAACCTGCTGATGCAGATGAAGGGCCTGGGGCAGCGCATCGTTCACATTGGTGACGATACCTGGGTGTCCTTGTTCCCCGACTACTTCGAGCCCAACATCAGTCGCGCGTACGACAGTTTCAACGTCTGGGACCTGCACACGGTCGACACTGGTGTCATTGATCACCTAGCGCCCCTACTTCAGCCCGAGAACAAGGGGAAATGGGACGTTCTCATCGGACATCTTCTTGGAGTCGATCATGCGGGCCACCGCTATGGCCCAGACCACCCCGCCATGAAGGCGAAACTGGAGCAGATGGATGCCTGGCTGCGTGACCTATCTACGCAGATCGATGACGATACCGTTCTGATTGTGATGGGGGATCACGGCATGGACGAAAAGGGCGACCACGGCGGCGAGTCCGATGACGAAGTGGAGGCAGCCCTTTGGATGTACAGCAAGAGGCCCTTCTTCGGCCGAACCGACCCCAATCATGCGCAGCCGCCCGCAACAGGCAAGGAACGCCCTGTCAACCAGATTGATCTTGTGCCGACGTTGGCCCTCCTGCTCGGTATCCCCATTCCCTTCAACAACCTAGGAGGGCCCATCGAGGAGGCATTTGCTGGTGTCAAGGGCAACGATTGGGCCAACCTGGCTGCCGTCTCGCGGATCTCGGCTGCCGGCACACAGCGATACCAAGATTCCTACTTCGCTGCACGTGGCATGGAGAGCTCGTCCAAGTCGAGCCCGACCCATGCGAGCTGGACCCAGGCGCATGGCGCGTGGGCTACCAAGTCGTGGCCCGCTTCATATCAGTCATTCAGGAATTTCCAGGAGGAGACCCTGCAGGTGTGCAAGGATCTTTGGGCACGATTTGATGTGCCTAAGATGATCACGGGCATCATCGTCATGGCGGCGGGTGTCATCATGCTGCTAGTCTATGCGTCCCGCGACGAAGACGAGGATTTCGCAGCCACAGACATTGAGCTTGACTTTGCCGAGAAGAAGCTTGAGCTTCAAGGCATCGTGGGCGCTGCTTCGCCGGAGTATACGCAGCTTCACAAAAACATCGTCGTTGCGGCTCTTGTGGGCGCCATTCCAGGAGCATTCGCTGGGGCTGCCGGCTCTCAGCTCCTCGGCGTCAACGATCTGACCTATGCAGCGGCGGCTGCTGCTTTCGCTAGTATTGTGGCCGCTCTGGTAGCTCTCACAGACGCTGGAAAGGGCCTTCTCAACATCCTGCCCACTTCTGTCTGGGGCTGGCTTTCTGTCCTATTTACTGTCAGTCAGTCTGTTGGGTTTGCGTCAAACTCGTACACCATCTGGGAGGATTCCATCCTCCTCTTCTTTATCTCCACCTTTGGCGCCATCAGTGCTGTCGCCTCCTGTTCCATCCCCTCTCCTGTGGAGCGCACCCTTGCCGTCTACCACTCGGTTCTCTTTATTGTTCTGGGCAGGGTAGCCTCCTTCTCCAAGCTCTGCCGCGAGGAGCAGATGCCTTACTGCACATCCACCTACTATGCCTCGTCGTCATCCTCGACGTCGGCTGGATGGCAGCTTCTCATCCCCTTTGTTGTTGCTTTTGCTCTTCCTGCTATCATCAAGTCGTTCCTCGTGCCTTCGCGGTCATGGGAAGGCCTGGGCCCAACCTGGATTGGCTACATCTACAGGGCTGGCCTCTTCATGGCCGCTCTCTACTGGGTTCTTGACGCTGCAGACAACGGCGACTGGGTCCCTGGTCTGCCTGAGCAGACGCTCAAGACAATCGCCGTGTACGTGGCCCAACTGGTTCTCGCCCTTGTCTTTGTGGCTGGGACGACAGCCTTCGTCTGGGCGCCCCCTCTGGTGTCGGTCGTGCAGTCTCGCGCCCCCGACGGCAGCAACAAAGTTGTCATTCTCGGTTACGGCAACACCAACGGCGCGCGCTATCTACTTTTGCCAATGAACCTCCTCGCCGGCTGCATCCTCTTATCGAAGCCCATGGGTGGCGGCGCCCTCGCCCTGGTTTTCTGGCAGACCATGTCGCTCATGGAGATTCTCGACCTCAACGGCCTGACCGCTGAGTCGATCGGCCCTGTCATGCTTGCTCTCCTCGGCAACTTTGCCTACTTCAAGACTGGCCACCAGGCCACCCCCTCGAGCATCCAGTGGGACAGCGCCTTTATCCCGCTCTTCACGATCCGCTACCCATGGACACCGATCGTCGTGGCCCTCAACCACTTTGGTGCGCAGATCATCGCAGCGTCAGCGGTGCCTCTTGTGGTGCTGTGGAAGGTCGGACCCAAGAGGAAAGGCGTGCTGGAGAGTGCCAGTCGAGAGCTGGCGGCGTTTGTGTCTTTCTTCGCCGTCGAAAGCTTGGCCACCATGGCTTGGGCCGGGCATTTGAGGAGACACTTGATGCTGTACAGGGTGTTCTGCCCGAGGTTCATGATGGGTGCTGTCTTGTTGCTGGTTGTGGATCTGGTGTGCATCGTGGTGACGCTGGCGGGTGTGAGGTCGAACACTCTGTCTGTGAGTGAGGTGTTTGGATTCGCCGACTGATGGCACTGTATCGACCATTATGGCCCGCATCGTTGGCTGTAGCATTATCAAAAGGTTCTAGAAGAGATAGACCGCTGAGCTCCGAGCAGCAAGGAGCAAGACGTAGAATATTGTTTTGCATGCCCGACCTCGTGGATGTCATTCATGATGTGCAGATTCAAGCTACTTGCATGGCCTCACGCGATGCGATGATCCTTCGCTGTTTGCGTAATGGTCAGCAGCATCTGAGTGATTTTGCCTGATGATCATAGGAGCTACAAACAGCTTGGTGGAGCCGGCCAGATGGTGTTCCAGCCTAGGTAGGTACCATGTACTCTAAGACATGACTTTCTGCCCAAGCGTCGTGTTCCAAAATGCCAATGGCATTTGGTGACCACGTTGAAGCATGGACCACACTGCGCGCTGTCGTGTGCCGTCAGACTGCTCTTAGCTTTTAGAGGGAGCACCCAAGCTGCTCCCAGCTCCTGCCACAGCTCCGAGAGTCAAGACTGGGCCTTTGCACCTTGACGGGTCGCAACTGCAAGGCGGCGGCAGGTGGGGCAAAGACGCGATGATTAAGCTGCCTAGATGGTACATTGACCGAGCTCGCAGCTACATGACACGTCGCGGTGCCCAAGCGTGCCCACCGAGTCTCCCCCCCTTGTGTGCAAAGTCCTCCTCGCTGGATCTTGGGGAAAGCACAGGGCAGGGCGTGATCACCTGGGCGTGTTTTTTTTCCACCACCTTCCCCCGAGGCCCTTCGCGTCTGTCGTCTATCTCCCCCAAGTCAAATCCCAATCCCGTCCGTCCATCACTCGCGACACCATCACCACGATTGCATCTCAGCCACTTCCCTCCAACGATCTCTTTGTGCCCGCACATATACCCAACGTCTCTCCCTCCCTCCCTTCCTCTATTCTGCATCCTCCCTCCAACGTCCACACCCATCCTCCTCCTTCCCGTTCCTGCGGCCTTTGGAACCCTTCCTTACATAATTTCGGCTTTTGGTCCTTGTTCTCGAAACGGAACTCCAACCCATTGCGACTCGGTCCTTTCGAACGATTGCCCTGCCTCGTACCTCGAGGTAAGCCATCAAGCTCGGCACCCCTGTCTGCATCCATCTCTGCCAGACTCCTTGGCCCTAACTCTGTCTGCAGCGAAGCAGCTATACGCACACTCGTCGTCGCCTACGTACAACGAGTCTAATCCCACCCACATCGGTCCGGTCGACATCGTCAGACCCAATCATCCCGGTTCGAGTTGCGCCCGATCAGAAATATCACATTCGCAACCATGGCGGCCAACGGAAACTTCACGGCGCAGGAACAGTACAAGGGCAATGCCGATCAATCGTCCGTCGCTGCTGCCACTGATTCCTCCCCCTCTTCGGCTTCTAACGCCAACCTCAGTAAGGATGAGGTCGGTTGGTACTTCGTTGAGCAGTACTACACCACCCTGAGCAAGACGCCCGAGAAGCTTCACGTACGTTGCCTGCCTGACCGCTGCCATCCTGCCATCGGCCTGCTAATCCCCTGAAGCTCTTCTACGGCAAGCGCTCCCAGTTCGTCTACGGCAAGGAGGCCGAGGTTGCCACAGTGTCCGTCGGTAGAAATGTGAGTAGCCCTACTGGTCTGCCTCGTCGTTCTCGTCTGACCTTGTTTCCTTTCTCTCAGGCCATCCAGGAGCGTATCAAGGAGCTCGACTTCCAGGACTGCAAGGTCCGCGTCACCAACGTCGACTCTATGGCCTCGTTCGACAACATTGTCATCCAGGTCATTGGCGAGACCTCCAACAAGGCTGCTGAGCCCCAGAAGTTCGTCCAGACCTTCGTCCTCGCACCGCAGCCTTCCGGCTACTTCGTCGTCAACGATATTCTGCGCTTCGTCAACGAGGAAGGCGAGGAGGAGGCCGTCGTCGAGACCCAGGAGGAGCAAGTGAACATTGAGCCCAGCCCCCCCGCCGCTGAGGCCGAGAAGGCCCCCGTCGAGGCTGAGGAGGAGACCAAGGAAGAGGCTGCCATTGATGCTGACGAGGTCGATAAGAAGCTCGAGGATTCCGTCGAGGAGACTGCCGCCAGCACTGACGAGGCTGCTAGCAATGCTGACGAGGCCAAGGCCGAGGAGCCCGTCGAGGCTGTGCCTGAGGCTGCCGCTGAGACGAACCCGGAGGCTGTTGCCGCCGAGGTTGCGCAGGACGACGTCAAGGAGGCTGAGAAGCCTGCCGACCCTAGCCCGACGCCTGTTGCTCCTCCTGCCAAGGCCGAGAAGCCTGTTGCCGCTGTTCCTGCCAAGCACATGTCTTGGGCCAGCCGCGCTGCCGCTGCTGTCGGACCCAAGGCCGCCGTCCCCTCCCCAAGGCTGCTGTTCCCGCCGCGAAGTCGGCTGCCCCGCTTCAGCTACTCCTGCCGCTACCGCCCTTGCAGCGGCATCCCCTCAGCCCAGCGACGCGTTTCAGCAGCCTAC